TTTTCTCACTTATGTTTTTTTTCTTTTTTTTTTTTAATTTAATGATTTGTCCATTATTATATTTATTTCTACCTTTTTAAGGTTTTCATTATTTTCTTTCTCTTCATTTTTTTTCGAGCATTACGTATTTTCATGGTTATTCTATGCTATATTCGATGAGTGATTTCCTCAAATTATATTTTTAGGGCAGGTTATGGTCATCTCTATAAGATAAGCCCAAATTACGAGAAACTCCTTATATTTGTATAATTACAATTCTCCATCAATTATGTATTGTCTTACACATTTATTATCATGGAAATAATTTACTTAGTGAATGAGGGATTTTTTCGTATAAAAGTACATGTGAAGTGGGCAGCTGTAGTTACCAAATAAGAGAATTATTTTCGTGATTTTATCTCAGGGGTGACTGTAATTTGCCATATATTTTACCATATATATTTTAACATATTAATATTTTTTTTGGTTTTCTTGTCTAACAATCTGTTCTTGATGTTAAATTCCACTTTCGTGCAATAACTAGTAAACTACATTATCTCAGTAAATATATCTTGATTTTAGAAAACTATTATTTTTAGAGTCAAATCCGCCTAATTAATAAGCGGGAGAAATTGAAAAATGTAGTATTTAAAAAAAAAAATTGCAAAAGAAGAAATATGTTGGAATTGAGATAGTGTTGATTAACATAATGGGGGTTTTGACCGACATACTCATGATGACAAAAGCGCACACGTGAAAGACCGCTTTCTTGATTTTGGGCGTCCCTACCTTTAATCACTCCATTTTCTCTCTCTCTAATTATAATTAGGGTAAATTACACCCACACCTCTCTGATGTATCCAAAAATAATTTTAAGGTCCATGTAGTATTGATAATTACACTCACCCCTAAAACATTGTTAGAAACTCTAATAGGATTGGATACATTGTTCCAATATAATTCTAACCATGAATCTTCTTACACGTCAACTTTTATGGTGTCAAATTCAACAAAATCAGATGACGAGAAATGTTCTCTAGTTTGTACTTATTTTGTGCAAAAATACAGTTTCTGATGCACCACAATTTGATATATACAAGCCAAAAAAATACATCTTATGATCATCTAGCTTCGAAATGTGGAGCTCGAATGGAATAAAACGGGTACAAACTTAAGAATATTTCATATAACTAAGAAGATTTCACTAAATTTGACACTATTAGGACGTGTAAGAAGATTCATAGTTTAGGGGTAATTGTAATTACACAAATAGAATTGGTTTTTATAATTTGATTTTTACTCAGTGGTGACCGTAATTTGTCCAAATAATTACAAAAGAAAATAAAAGATATGTGTGGGGTGACACGTGTAAGATGATAGTAGGTTTTATGGGAAATACTTTTGCAGCACGTAAAACGGAGTAGGGTCCGCTGAGAAGAGACAATCTGGAGTAGTCCGTTGGGCAGTTAAGTGAGATTATATGATACCTTACATTAAAAGAAGATATTTTATTTAAAATAATAAAATAAAATTAATGGGTCTCTTGTTTTTGGGCAGGGTCAAGTCAAATCCAATTTGATTTTCGGATCTTCTTTTTTTGATTTCTCCAAGAAACACCACCATTGTATATCTTTAATTCATGCCTATTTATTAGGACTATTAAACACTAATTAAATAAATAAATAAATGGGTAGGTTCAACCCAAATGAGTTAGGACTTAGGAATGTGAAATGTGAATGATTCTAAATCGAATCGAATTTAATTTATTTGACCTCAAACAATGGATAAATTTCACATGCACCACTGATATATACTTAAATAACTCTAAGGTCCCTGTGGTATCGGTAATTACAATCACATCCTGAAATATTGTTAGAAACTCTAACGGGATAATGCATTCAGTAAGTTATCCCGTTCAAGTTTCTAACAAACTAGTTTCAGGAAATTGTGGAAATAACATATAGATAAGGGTGTCATGCATCCCCAACATTTTTTAAATTACCCCTAGATTTATGTTTTCTCCACCACTTTCTGAAATTAAAAGCCCGTTAGAACTTTATTGGAATAACTTATCGAATTCATTATTCCGTTAGAGTTTCTAAAAATATTTAAGGGGGGTAATTATAATTTCCAATACCACAGGGACCTTAGAGTTATTTATCATAGATCAGGGGTGCAGGTGTAATTTACCAAAAAAGAATTATTTGAAGAGCTATAACTCATGCTCCCCTGCTTTTTAATGGGTTTATTTATTATTTAATTTATAATTAAAAAATGAACGCATTACTAAAATATTGTTATTTTCATGTATAAAAAGAATATTATCAAGCACTAATTGCCACACAATATATTTTTAAATAATGAAATACAAATGTATGTATAATCTATTTTTAATGATTATGTAATATGTGTATCAATTTTCATGCATCTTTTGATAATATTATTCTTTGAAGTAGTATGCATTCATACAAGATTACGTGGCTTCCCTCACGAGTCATGCCAAATCTATTATATATATATATATATATATATATATATATATATATATATATATATATATATATATATATATACATGAACGAGGTTGCATGATGTCAATTATTGCAAATTAAAGAACCCCCAAAGGCGTGATACATTTTTAATTTCTTGACGATTATTTAAATAAATTTCGATATTAAGAAAATATGAGATGAATCTCTCTTTTTTTTTTTAAAGAAGGTAATATCTAAATTATATTATATATAAATAATAATCATATAATCATGAATTGTACACGTACGAGCCCAAAGGTGGGACCACTTGATGGAGGGGTGAGGGGGACAACTCTCCAACAATTGCAATCATTGTCATGTATTAAAACATGGCTCCTTGTCCTATGATATTTATTTTTATTATTTATTCCAATTATAATATTATTATAAGCTCAAATTCATAATTACAGATATGGGCCCAATTATAAGCGAATGTCGAAATAAATAAATGTCTCCGGCCCACAATTAAATTAATCAAAGTATAATTAGAGTTTAATTTAAATCATTCGTTCATAATCATCTTTCGATTACGTCGTAGCGATCTCGTGTTAGTTTATTGTTGATCGTCGTATTACAAGATAACGTACGACTAATTAAGACGTATTTGTAAAGAAAATATTAACCATATCGCTGCGATTTTGTCGGTTTGGAGATAAAAGAAAATTCTTCCAAATTATTCTGTCGGTTTTCGAGTTTTAATAATGCATTAATTGTAATTTTATCAATTTTATCCTCTAAATTAGTTGAAAATTATTAATAAGTAGTTGAGAAATAATTAATGATGATTGTTTCAACATGAATATATATCCAATATAGTAGAATTAAGAAATTATATAATAGACAATATGAACAGTTCAAAATATATAATATTTTGGTAACGTAAAATAAGAAGCTGGAAAAGTAACTAATACAAAATTTTACCCTAATAATTTTTTTCTCAGTTCAAACTTCTTATAGCCTGAATTTGTGATAGAATTGTTTCGAGGCGGGCAAGTCGGCTACCTACGTCGCGAACGGCGTCCGATAATACCCCTTCAAGGGGCCCACCAGCCATTCGTTGCCTAGCGCTCTCGACCCTACGGGCTTTGGGTCTAGGTGGAATCCTGATCAACCCGGAAGAATATTCCGTCACGGCGGGTCCGCCATCGTTTCCGTAAATGGGAGTAACGGTGTCGTCAGAAACCTCCCCCTTACAAACGGGGCACTCTTTGGTAGATGACCAAGAATCAACTTTCGGCACCCGGTAAAAACATGGCCAGCAGAACAGGTGGCCGCAGCAGGTCAACACCGGATCACGCGCCGCGTCCAAACATATACTGCACTCGGGAAATCCGTGGGCCCCACTTCCCGAGGGTTCCGCCGCCAGATGGGACTGTCTCTTTTACCGCAACCACATGATTTTCCCCTCTCGC